TGTTTATTCTAATGATTAGCAGAAGTCAGCTGCAATGAATGGATCGTTTCTTTATTCAAAAATATATCGATCTGCCTATAGATACTAGATGGAAGATAAAATTATAAGCAAGACATCCAAGGTTTTTGATCTTTTGGAAATTATAATTTGACGAAGTTCCTAGTTCAATTGTATAGGCTGGTTAAGAAGAGGTAGGGTAGGATAAGGAAAAAGCGATGTTATGAGGGCTTCAACTTTGATTGGATAGCTTCCATGGGTCTTTGGGTTTCAGCAATTCCAGCAATCCCTAGGATCTAGGAAGGAGGGACCTAGGTTATACTTCCCAGAATCTGGGGAGTGTATTCCAGATGATCTATGAGGGATGCTGATAGAGAGGTAGAAAGTCCTGGAGGTAAATTTGACTCCTTCAAAAGTATACCCAAGGCCTGACTGTGTCTGTCTTTTTCTACTATGGTAATTGTAAGACCAAATGTTAATGATGTACTAAATGTAAGACATCATCCCTATCTACAAGGATTTTATTTTATTTTTTAAACTAAAAAACAAAAAACTCAAAATTGATTGTATTTTTTAATTGAAAGCCAGATTTGGAGAATAGTTCATTTTGATTAGTTGGACTACTGCTCTTTCTTTCTTTGTTGTATTATCAGACTCAGTTTAATATTCAAATATAGGACACAAAAAGTCATAGAATTCAGAGTAGTAAGCTAAATATATGACACTACCAATGAAAAGGTGTCACTGCCAGGCCATCATCAACTGGTCCTGTGTTTTGATTGGTTTTCCTAGCAGTGATGATGTATTGTGCATAAGCGTGCTTCCCCACCTTCCAGAATTTTGGAGATTGCTTTGGGGCAGAGGTGTTAGGGGATGAACTGGGAGAAGCCAGCCTAGTTAACCCTTAACCCAGTTAAGGAGTGGCAATATGTTGACTATGGATCTTATAGGCAACAAAACCTGGTTGTTTTATTTGAGACCAGTGGCTGAAACAAATGAATTTTGTATCCACACATGAAATACATTGTTATACTTGTCTCAGCAATTGCAACATGGAATTTCAGTTTCACTGTATAGGTTTTAAGCCAATCTGCTGGTCATGCCTCAAGGGTTCATGTTATGGGCTATACATGTTTACGCAGCACTTGCTTGCTAGGCTAGAAGAGCTTTTGTATTCAACATAGATAAAACTCAACAAAACAAAATCAAGACATGTGCAATTCCATATATAGTGAACAATACTGTGCTGGAAGCAAAGGAAGGAAAACAGAAGTAACCAAAGTTATATTAATAAGTGGCTGTGAATATTTGTTTTTCTGTTCATCTGACCTATCATTACCTTATTTTGCTAATTAAGTCAATGCAGTAAAATAACACTTTGGAATTTGCAGCACGGTATTTATAAAATTAGGCTCTCAAATTGAGACAAAGCTTCTGCAAAAGCACGATGATAATTCAGCAACCATTTCCCAATATCTATTCTGAATGCCATAATTCAAACACATTCAGGTCTTTATCATCATGCATTTATATCTGACCCAGATTTCATGCTATTAACTATCTCTTTCCCATGGTTCTTTGGCTTGAACTGATAAAGAAAACTATACAGAATGAAGGTAACTTTCTGCTCCCCTTCCACCACTCTCAAATATTTTTTGGAAATGAATATTATTAGAATACTAAGCAAGCTTGATATGAAAATTTGAAGTTATTCCACAAATCCTCTGACATCTTGCACTCTCCTGTTAGGAATTGCTTTTCACAGTTAGGGAGTTAATAGGAATATTTAGTTCTGATACATACCTTCTAAATTCAAACCTTCTTGACTTATTATTAAAATCTCTGTCTTAGATCATTTTCCCCTTTCTCTTTGCAAAATAATGTTGATGGATACTACTTCTTCCTAAGCAGAACTGGAGGAAATAGTGTGTTAAACTATAAATTTCAAGATCTGAAAATCTGTCTCCCAGTGACAACGATCTTATGCTACTTTTAAGAGGAAACCGAAGGGCCCCTCACCTAAACCCTGCTTCTCATTCCTGAATGCTTCCTTTGGCTCCCCCTGGAATGACTCTGTAATCTCTTCGCAGTTCTCTTCCTACAAGTGGGCATTGACTGGCAGGCACCATTGTAGGAAGAGATGCAAAGAGATCACAACAGATCTGGCTCTCCCCTCACCTTGGTCTCTGCCAATTAGCCCTGTTAGAGTGAGTTTAAAAGACAACTCTGACTATACAAGTGTGTATATATATTTATGTCCCATATACTTTATCTTATTTCATGTAGATTATATTTTGAACTTACGATCATTTAAGCACATAAAGGTGCAAAAAAATTTTGAAGAAGTGTAAAAATAAACACTTATTCTAAAAATCTTCAAACTGATCTGAAACAAGACCAATGATGTTATGTTATAAACAAATAAATTAATAGAAAGAGCTATATGCACCTTTTTTTTTTGTTCTGGTGGGGCTTATATCATACACTGGTACACAATATAAGGGATAATCAACTTAGACAAATTCCAGGAAGCCAATTCAATACCCAAGATTCAACACTATATTTATATATTCAACAAACATAAACCTTAAAAAAGTATAAAATACAAGTTAGAAAACTGAATAGCATTTTAATATAGTTGAAAAATTTGCTACTCAAGCTATTTCTAAGGTGAATATTTTCATAAAAGTAATAATCCCTTTTTAAAATATGAATCACAATTTTAATCGATTAAAATGGTACCATGTTTTGTAACAGGATACTTGTTAGTATAAAACAAATCTATTTTGAAATAAATCCTTGTTGACACTAAAACTTTTCATAGTTATCATAGGTTTTACTAAATAAACATGATTTATTTTTAAGTTGCTTTTTTGTTACAGATTGTCTATAAATATTTATGAAGAAAAATGTGCTTGACTAGAAATGATTGCCTAAAGCTAAACCACTAGGCACACATTCCCCCATAGCTCCCAATCTTTCTTTCTTTTTTTTTTTTTTTTTCTGGAAACATTTTTTTCACAGAAAGCAAGTTATCTTATTTTAAACAGAAGATGAGAGAAGCGATTTTTTTTTCCAAACTTAAAAACATTTATCTTTGCAGTATGTGAATTTCAATAAGGCAAGTCTGACCTAAGCCAGCTTATACTTCTTTTCATAGATGACACAAAAGACATTTCACCATCATATTTCTTGGTCTTTAAACTCAATATACAGACATGAGTGTTCTACAGTTTCCCTGCCTTAGAGGTTCATCTTCATGCTTCTGTGTCTTTTTTTTTCTTAGAAACAGGATTTTAAAAATGATTTCTACAAGTACTTCTACAAGTATAGGCAAATATAAGATGGCCAGTTCTAATCTTTGTTATACCACATTGTTTATCTTCTTTCATAGAACAAGACTTAGTTCTTATTTAAAGTTTAAAAAAATTCCTTTAAACTCAAATGCATAATGTATACTGAAAACAGTACAAATAAAGGAATTAAAAAAAAAACTTTATTTGAAAAGAAGGGAATTATCTCTGCCTGGAAGAGGCTCAAGAAGTTGCTATTCTTTTTTTAATGAAATATGGTGCATATTTATGTATAGGATAGCTATTATAATACCTATTAGCTTTTCATTTCTTAGAATCTCAGAATTTAAAAAGGACCTTAGAGCCATTTTGCATACTCCAGAAGAAACAGTAACAACCTAACAAAAAGCAAGACCTTGCTGGTACTTGAACCCAGCACTCCTAACTATAGTGAATTACCCTTTCACAAGAGCACACGTTTGTGCCATATGAGAATAGTTGGTGGTAGGGCTGGCATTCTTTGAACATCAGTTCCCTCTGTGACTAGACAAGGCACATGACATGCATTACAGTTATCATTTATCAAGTCAGATGTTTATCTTATTTTTGCTACTGTGCATACTTTGGGATAATAAATAACTATCAATTTTCAATTTTTTTAAGAAGCAAATGAAAACATGTATGAAGTATTCTTTCTGCAATCTTCCTGACATCCATCTACCTCTTCCACTTCCACTACATAAATCTAGGCTGTTCATATCATACCTGCACTATCTCAATAGTCTCTTTACTGACATCCTGTTTACAGTGTCTCTTCATTTCAAGTTATCCTACTACCACAGCCAGGTTAATGTTCACAAACTTTGCCTATATAAACATTCTCCCTTGGCATAAATAAATACTCTCCATTGCTTTCAGAATAAAGTAAAAATTTCTGTCTGGAATTCAGAGCTCTCCACTACCTGACACAAACGTATTTCTAACTTCATTTCCTATGTTTCTCGTTTGTACAACATTATAATCTGTATGATCTATTCAAAATCTCTTAAATATCCTTTGCTCATTTATTCATTCCTAGGATTCAATTCCCCCTATCTGAAACATATTCTCCTATCTTCACTGATATAAATTCCATCTATTTTCATGGTTCTTCTCAATGCTTGTGGCTCCGTGGATCTCTCTTGCATTCTGCCAATTGGCAATTATTTTAATCCATTCTGAGTTTACATTTTTACATATGTCTCTCAAACATAACATTATATAAAAATTACTTGCAATTCTTGTAAAATGCACGTTTTCAGGCTCCATTCTAGATATTTGGATTCAGTAAATCAATGGTGAGCTCACAGAATTTTTGTTTTTAACAAAATTCACAAGTGATTCAGACTCTGGTGGACTTGTGATTATACTTTTAGAAACATCACATAGCAGTTATTATTTGGTTTATTTACTTGAACCTTAATTACACATTAATTTTCAGTTTGCAAATTTCCTATTTGCATCTCTGATTGCCCCAGAAAGATTGTAGATTAACTGAAGATAATGACAAAATATACACTTTTCTCTATTCTGTATAGTACTTCGTATATGCATGAAGCTAGTGCCCAATAAAATGTACTAAATTATCCAGCTAAAATATGCTTGTTACTAAGTTATCTGCAATTGCCATGTATATTTGCTAATGTATTTACTATCTGATCCCTTCTGTAGGGTATAATCTTCATGAGCGTAGAGCTTTATCTCTTATTCACATCTAAATCCCATCGATACTTAAAATGCAAGATTTTTTGCTCAGTAAGTTGTGTTTCAAGAAATAGGCGAATAACAGGTGAGTGTCCTTCCTCATTAAATGATTTTCCTCTCCTAGTCACATTTAAAAACCGACAACAATAAGAACTATTTACATTATTTTGTCACTTTTTTGTTTGTTTGTTTCCAGCCTCAATTTGAAAGATGTATCTCCAGCTGAAATGTATCACCTCATGTAGTGGATGCTATGATGTGTCATTTTCTGCTCCTCCCTCTGCAAATGTTGATCCCAAGGAAATTCCTTAATAAATCTCTCCTGGCTGAGCACCGTGGCTCATGCCTGTAATCCTAGCACTTTGGGAGGCCGAGGTGGGTGGATCAACTGTGGTCAGGAGTTTGAGACCAGCCTGGCCAACATGGTGAAACCCTGTCTCTACTGAAAAAAAAAAAAAAAAAAAAATTAGCTGGACGTGCTGATGCGTACCTGTAATCCCAGCTACCCTAGAGGCTGAGGCAGGAGAATCTCTGGAACCCGGGAGTCGGAGGCTGCAGGGAGCCGAGACCCTGCTCAACTGCAATCCAGCCTGGGTGACACAGCAAGAATCCGTTTCAGAAACAAGCAAACAAACAAAATCCCTCTTCCTACTTATTAATCTGTAGCTCAGAGTTTGCTTCCCAGAGATAAAACTCCCTGTTACTCCAGTGGGGTCAGAGAAACCAGACACTGAATGGGATTTTAAAGCTGGATCACCTGCCCTTTGCTGGAGATGAAATTGAGGATCCCATTATTGGTAGTAGGTGAGCACAAATAGCCCCTGAGCATGAGGTAGCAACAAATTATTAAAACTTTTATCAGTGGCAAACTGGGGTGGTGGAAGGGACAGCATTAGCTCATGCAATGCATTAGGCATTTGAGAATTATGGAAAGTATGGTGATTTCAAGGATATTGGACTTGGGTTGCTATTGCTAAGTTCTATCAATATTCTGGTAAAAGATAACAAGCTAAAAGTGATTAATCTGCATTAAAAGCCAAATGTGAAAGCCAGAGGGCCTCTTTGGTAGCACACAAAGAAACTCAATAGGAAGAGAGCAGAGAAAGGCTGAAAGGGTTAGCAACCTCCTTTGTCTAAACAAAATATAGAGGCCTCTTTCCTAAAAGATAACAGGTATTCCTCCTTCAGTATTAACCTTCTCTCCCTGACCCTTGACCTCCTTGGCCATCAGGAAAATAATTTAGGCAAAAATTTACAATCACCTAGGTAGGAATATACCAGGCCTACGAAGAGACAAAAGGAATTACACCTCTAAGGGACACTAGGACCTGACCAACATGAATTTGTATGAGGTGGGAGAGTATGCCTGGGACTACGCTCTGAGGATGCTGGTCCAAGGCAGGAGGGTAGAATGTAAACCTGGATAATACTCTTCAAGGAATCAGAATTAATCACTCAGGAAAGAGCCCTGGAAGATGATGTGAATGCATAGTTAGAATACCACCTAGTAGCATGCCACTTAGATGGCCCATTCTAGGTGAGGTGGCAATTTTGGAACTGTCAAGGCAGATGGTAGAAGAAGAGATAAAAGTCTCAGAGATATGGGTATGTTAAACATATAATATATGGCTGGAAAGCCCATTAGACATTTCTAATTTATGGGGGTGTGAAGGGACAGTAGGATAAAGAATTTACTGAAATAATAATGAATATGCTGGTGAGACTGAACCTGGTAATACTAAGAAGTTTATCTACTGCCCTTGTCTCTAGGCCAGGTGAGTGAGAAATACCAATACAGAACTAAGATGACTAACAACAATGGGATAACATGGCCTAAAACAAGAGTGGCCAGATGGTAACTGTTAACCATCAGAAGGGACATGGTCGCAATTGCCCTAGTGACAATTAAGACTGGAATTAAGTCAAGAGGTCAAGGAAGCCCAACTCAGTGTTATGGAGATAGTTAATAGAACACAGTATCCCAGGAGTAACCCTAGGTAGGTAGCCAAAAAGTTTATCACTCCATCTATAACACTAAAGATAAATAATCAGGAGTCTGAGGGTTACTGCAGATATACTGATAAAAAACCAAGAAGACCTACTCAGTTTCCATTTCAGAGCCAGATTTTGGACCTCAAATTCATGGACTGAAGAAAAGTCTGAGTCACCAGGTGAAAAGGGCTCCACAAAGCCACAGCAATTGTACATGGCTATGATTAACTGCCAAGTGTTTTCCCAAGGGGGCCTTCAGGTATTTACTCAGGTAACTGTAGTAGGAAAAGAAAAATAGCTGAACACTTTAAAGAATGTTGGACACAGGGCTGAGATGATATGACACCCTGAGACCTGAAGAGTTTCATGGGTACCCTGAATGATTCCATATGGTGGAATCATATGAGAATATATAATAAATTGTGTCCTGGCCCAGGAATAATTCCCAATGGGTCCACAAGATGTATAGACTCACCCAGTAGTCATTTCTAGAGTCCTCAAATTTATAACAGTTATATTTGCTAGTTGGTGCCATCTCATATACTAGGTACTTGGCCTGTGGTATATGAGCAATTGAAACCAAGTGGAAATCTCTGGAAATGCTCTATTCATACCCCTAGCCAAGAGTAAATAAAACACAATATAGCATTCTTAGGGACTGATAGAAATTAGCATCACCTTTAAATCCTTAAAAGATGCAGGGCTGGTGGTCATCATTGTGTTTTCATTGAATATAGAAGCCTTTCTTCTGAAAAACAAAATATAGTGGGCAAATGTTGGAGCATAAAGTAGATTACTGTAAATTCAAGAAAATAGTAGCCCCAATTATTGCTGTGATGTCAGATGTGGTATATTTGCTAGAATGGAGTAACATGGCCTCAGAAACTCAGATAAGTGACCACTGATTTGATCTGGCGAATGTTGTCTTTTGCATCTTTATTAGAGAAAAAGGAACAGAAAACAGAATATATTTACAGCTATTCTGTCATCTGTTATAACACAGTTTGAAGGAATCCAGGCTGCCTGGGCATCTCATAGAATATCATGCTGCTCCACTATTATATAAATGGCATTATTATAATTGGACTGGATGGGCAAGAAATAGCTAGCATGATGGAAATCTTGGTACATGTACTCCAGGTTTTGAGCAATAAACTCTACAAAAATTCAGGGTCCCATCGTGTTAATGAAAATTTTAGAGGTCCAGTATGCCAGGACATTCTCTGCAAAGTAAAGGATAACATACTTTGTGAGTCCCACCATGAAAGGTGAAACACAATGGCTGATAGACCTGGAGTCAACAGGTTTTACACCTGAGGATACACCTAGTGACCTGAAAGTCTGGCAGCTTTGAGTGTTTTTGTGGAGTCCTAATAAGATAAGTAAGCAGCAATGAGGAAGAGGTCCAGGTGTGGGAGAACAACTGTTCTTAGGAACGGCTAATTACAAACCCCTGGCAAAATTACCTCCTTCTGCATGTAGTCCCAGTAGCACGACCCTGTAAAACTTTCCTCCAGCCCCTGCCACTTTGCAGACAGTCCCTTCTCTGTTATGCCTGCTGCTTTCTCGCAAGGTATCTTCATACTTTCTCTAATAGTCTGCCTTCTTTACCCATGACTGTCGTGGTAAATTCTTTTACCACTCGCAACGCTGGTCCCAGCCAGTTGTACCCATGACATTATGGTGGCGCGTACAGGGACTGCTAGGGGACTCCTCCTTTACTTTCCCCTCTTTCCTCTCCTCCAACTCCAGGTTCCCGGTGGACAGCGTCCAAGCACGGAGACAAGTGAAGGTCCCCAGCCAGGGCCACTTCCTAGCGAACCAGAAGGTCTCATAATGAAGACTTCTGACGGCTGCCGCCCCCATTAGGTGAGAGTTTGGAGTTTTGCCTTCATTTTCAGTTTTCTGGAGGACAAACTCTAATAGCCCTCTGGCAATTGATGGCACCTGGTGTAGCCTGAAGACCAGGAGGTGAACAGGTGTGGCCTTCTTGCCAGGGAGGGAGGAAGGCTCTCTCCTATCCTTACTGGTCAAAAGTCCCCAGTCCCTATGTGCAGCGTTGACTGGCAGTGGAAGTTAGACCAGGGCAAATCTACACATGTTTTGGGGGACTCAGGCCCCCTCTTTCTCTCTCTATGTTCCCACATGAAGACAGCCAGCCACTTTGCTTCGGACATCTTAAGCCAGGTGATCCCCGATAGCGCCGAGAGGGTAAGTCGTCCCTCAACATTTCCCTGCCCCGCGCCCCCATACCTGGATTGAAAGCTCCGCATAATTTGTACTGGACTGACCTGGGGTCGCTCACCCAGCGTTCATCCAGCGCAAGGCCCTAGCGCTGGGAGATCTTTTCCAATAGGTTGGATGCCCCTTTTGAAAGTGGATCCCTTAGTGGACATAAGTGGAACCCCCTTTCCTTGGAAGGAGGCCCCGAGAGAAATTGTAGTTCATGTTCCCAGTAGACATTGTTTCCCAGTCCCATCATGGTACAAAGCCCCTCCATTCCTTCAGACTCGCTGCTGGGCTGTGTTTTAAAGCTTTGGGATAAATCTGACCCTCAGACTCTCAAAAAGAAACATCTAATTTTCTTATATAATACAGCATGACCACTCTATAACCTTCCAGGTCAGGAGTCCTCTTGGCCTCCAGGCAGGACTCTTGCCCCCTACACTATTCTGCAGCTTGGCCTTTTCTGTCACAACTCTTTTAAATGGTCTGAAGTTCCTTATATCCAGGCTTTCATGACTCTGGGGATCCTGATCTCTGCCAAACCTGCTGATGTGCTTGGCCAAGTTCTTTGGCCTCACTTGCTCTTCTAACATTTTGGACGAACCTTCTTTTACTCGCTTCTGATCTCCCCAACCAGATGAACCCACTGAGGCCACACCTTCCCTTGACAAGCCACCTTCATATTCAATTACACCTAATCCATCTGCTCCTTCTCCCTCACCTTACCCCCAACATCCCAACCCTGAATGTCATTTTCCAGTAACTTACTTGTCAAATTTGTGTCTTCTAGAATTCGGCAGTTTCAACTTCAAATGATGATGTGAACGGGATGTCAGTATCTCCCCAATGATGTCTGGTATCTTTACAAACCTCCCCTGGATTCAGCTGGACACCAATTTTGCCCTGACATGTTCCCCCTCTCTGATGAACCCCTTCCTCCAGCAAGATCCAATATTGTAAGTCCCACATTATGGGACAATAACACACAGGGTCTCCTGATAGACTAGTAACTATAGGTAGGGTCAATTCTATGTCTCAGGCCCTCAGGAAGCAGTTGGAAGATGAGACCTCCACCTCAATGTCAAAGATTTGTCATTGTTCTGTTGGTGGTGGTGGGGTGGGGGCATGTGGAGTCCTAATAAGCAAGCAACAACAAGGAAGGGGCCCTG